GCCCCGGGGAACCCCAGCCAGACCCAGTCTCCTTCAGTCACTTCCTGCTGGGTGGTGCGACCCCATACCCCCCAGCCAGGCCCCCACACCCCCCTGCTCCCAACGCAAGGGCTGGGAAGCCCTCATGAACTGGAGGGTCCTGGATGGTCCTCATGGACCATCTTCTTGTTTCCACCACTGGAGGTCACTACCCCATCACAAGCTGCGCCCAGCCTGCCACAAGCACCACCAGGGAAGGCGAGGGGAAGGGGATCATCCCACTCGCCTCAATTTGGGGCGGGGGGGGCTGAAGCGAGGCAGTGCACAAAGCATTTCTCCATTTCTCCCTCTGTGGCCTCCTCCGGCCACACCTTGCCACATAACGGGACCATGCAGGTGGGGTATGGGGTTGTCCCCGGCTCTACTCACTTCATGGGCTTGAAGAGGGCCTGCCCGTAATTCGGGAACGTCATGATGAGCTTGAGCTGGGTCCCGCCAGACTTCTGGACTGAAAGGGGGCACATGGGGATGAGGGAGGCGGGCAGCAGGCAGCGGGGCAAGGGTGTGGGCAGGGGTGCGGGCAGGGGTGCAGGCAGGGAGGTGGTACCCGAGCTGACAATCCTCTGCGTGGCCAAGTCCCGGAGGAGGGTGGGCATCAGGGGGTCCCGGCGGGGGTACAGCTCGTAGCGGTTGATGCCAATGTGGAATTTCAGCCAGGCGGGGTAGGTGTCATAGGCTGTCTTCCCTGTCAGGAGGAGCGTCTCGGCTTTACTGCTGCTGACCCTGCAGCCCGACAACCACCGCCACCCCAACAACAACAACAGTGTTTAATTGGGATGGGATGGGTTCCGCGTCCCCAGGCCCTTCCCGGGAGCTGGCGCATGGAGGGTGAGGCAGGGGGAAGGCCCAGCACAAGCTCTGGATGGTGGCAAAACCCCCTGCCCCATGCGTCCTCCCTGGGGCTCCTGGCACCTGGGCAGATGCCACCCATGGCTGGTGGCTGGGGAGACACACCGGCACGGCTGGATGGGGCTCGGTGTCTTCCCTGGCATGCCCCGCGGAAAATCCCTGGGCTGATCCGGCTCCTCTCATCCATGCCTTTATTTCCCTGCCGGAGCAGCTCGTCTTGTTGTTTTCCCCAAGGGATTAGTTCCCAGGAATACAACCGGCTACACCCCCCCCCCCCC